AAGCAAGATGACGACAGCTGGGAAGTTCATGCTGCAAACTGAGGCTGTTTACTGGCAAACACGACAGCTGCTAGGCAAACTGATGCTGCTTGGTCCAAACATTGCATGGCCAAGTGCTCATGGTGTCTGCAACCCATGTGTCCTTCAATGGACAATTTGACTTTCAACAGGTGCTCATGTAGGTGCATGCTGTTGCTAAGGATCCTGAGGATTCATGAGGACATTCGGCTCCTCGGAAGGGAAATTTTTATCGGGTTCACACATCCGTGGCCACTTTGGGCTGAAGCGTACAGTTGAAACTGCGAAGGTCCACATTATGGAGCCTTCGCTAGATAGGAACTTTGTCCAAATACACAAAGTTTGCGCCCGTACTGAACGGGAAAGAAATCATGCTCTGACATTCGAAGACATGCCCCTTCAAGGCATGGTGAAAAGACTCAGCCAAATTCAAAGGTAAGGTGCAATGGCTTTTGCAGCAACACGGCTGAAAGATGGGGGCAAAAGCCTCAGTCCTTTTCTTTCTTGTACTTCCTCTTGTACTCAATGACCTGTAGGGCTTGGGTTGGATTTCATGAATGGATCAGCAAAATCACGTCCAGAGATGCTCTAAAACATCAAAATGTCGAATGAGTGCTGCTGCCCTGGGACCTGAGGTGTCCCCAATTAGCGTCCTTGCTCCTAGTAGCGATGCCCTTTGTTCCTAGTAGCGAACATTGCTCCTAGTAGTACGGCCAGGAGCCCCTAGTAGCGTCCTTGCTCGTAGTTGCCTCCAAAGCCTGACCATCGTTATTAAACCGCCCTTTTCACCTGCTTCGAGTTGGCTTCCAGGCTGGCATCAAATTCAATGTGCTTGCATATGAAGTGCTTAAATCACAGAGACTTTGAAACATCCTTCACTCTAGCGTAAGCAGCACGATGCACAAGTGATAAAATTAAAGCCCTCTTGCACTGAATATAACAGCTTTGAGACATGTTGGGTTCAAGGTGGGGCACAAATGGTACGATTGGAACCTTTCACAGCCAAACTCTTCACAAGGTCCAAATCAACGAGATCCAAGCATATTCAACGTAGACATCTTCAGAGTCGAAGAGCACAAACTCCCTGAAACATGGATAGAGCGATAGAGGATTGAAAAACAAATAGCAGTCTGACAAAATCTTTTGGGCTGCCTGTAGGTTCCACGAGTCTTCTCTCGGTCGCCACAAACGGAATCAAAGTCCCCTTCGATGCAGGAATGGACAAGTGCCTGGGATAGCGCTGCAGGCTTGTTGCCCGAAGTGTGATGGCAGAGGTACCAAGTCACAGACTTCTGGATCTGGAGTAACCTCGTCAGTGTAGTTCACGCGGCCACCAATCACACGGCACAGAAGGACCTCAGTTGATGAAGAAAATTCCCTGATACCAGCATGGTGAAGGTGAACTGGTGGTGTATGTCGCACCATGAGGTGGGGAACTGTGAACAGGCAACCACTGTATGAACAAAACCAAAAGGAATAGACACCTGTATTTTATGGTGGTTCATGCCCCTTCCATGCAATCAAGGTAGGGTAGTCTGGAGAGATAGAGAGATGATAGATTTGCCTGGAATCTACCTGCATGCATATTTGTGTGAGAGAGGAGGTATGAAAATAAGAATGAGAAAAAGCGCCACTGAATCAGAGCAAATGAGTTGTGGAGTTGCTTGGAAATCTGAGTCCAAAGGATCTCAAGGTGCCTTCAACATCTCACCTCAACCTCATGACCTTGACCGTGTCATGAGTTGTTAAGCTCCTTTCAGAATCATCTCATGTCTTGGTTAACTCTCATCTTTTGGTCTTGTCTCATCTCATGTCCTCGGTGGCACATTCTACGTCACTTCACGTTCCTTGTCTCATCTCTACTAATTTCAACTACTCCTCACCTTGCCTTGGCTTGCCTTAATCTTCCATCGAAACAGCGAGTGTGAGTGTGGATGTTGTGCACCCGTTGATCTCATTGAAGGTAAGCTGAGGTTACGTCAAATGAAACGAGATGTAAAAGACAAGGATGATAGACACAATACTGGTAGTTGCTGCTGAGCAGATTGCTGTGCTGAAGTAGCTTCTGAGCAGAGCAAAAAGGCATAAAGGACAAGATTCCGAAGCCAGTCCTTGTTTCTCCAATCTTGGCCACCCCAACCGCGTATCGGCCCTCCGCATTAGGCTTGGCATACTCATCAGCCTCCGTTTTGTCGCGTCGCAGCCTATACTCACATTTTCTCTATAAAGTACGACGGCCTTCGTGATGGACTCTGCAAAGTAAAGTCCTGACACAGCTGTGACTCGAACAGGTAAGAAAGTAAGGAAGAGAAAAAGGTCTGGACGTGGTGACAACACACGTGTAAAGCAAATGCCCAAAGTACGAGATGAGACTGATGAGAAGGTAGTAGCAAGAAGCTACTAGGAACAAAGGGCATCGCTACTAGGAGCAAGGACGCTACTAGTAGCTCCTGGCCCTACCACTAGTAACAAGAAGCTACAGGAACCAAATCATTAGTGCAACCGCTTCTTCAAGGAAGCGTGAGCTCTCCTGCATCCTAGCCAGGAGCAAAGTTCTCCTAGTAGCTTACTTCTCCCTTACTTAATTAAGTAGGAGAGGCCTCTTTTGAAGTTCCCTGTATGCAAGCCATTTCTGAGGCAGCTCCTTTTCCATACAGAGTACCCGTGCTGGAGCCAGCTCGACTCACTTTGAAGTCAGATGCACCTTCGCCAACACGAAGCTGGTACGAACATGACAAACTAGCCTGCCGGCCTGGAATTTTTCAGGAGGCATTGAACTGGGCACCCCGACAAATGGCAGCTGCTGCTTCAGGATTGGTACCATGAAACAAGTACCATTCATTGCCTCGTTGTTGAGATCCGCTCTTGGAGCTCATTCCAAATAGAGAGCATGGTCAGTGATCGTATATATCATATCCTTAAACCACTACAGCATCGTGCTCAAATTGTATATTCTACTGGTTGCGTGAAAGCTGCCTGGCATTGGTTGACATGTACCAACTTGATTCATGTTCATTTGAATGAACTGAATGTGCCGCATTCTGTGAGGAGATACCAACATGATGTGTTCCTGGGACCCACAGGATCAATCACCAATGACTCCGAGGCATAACACTGTTTAGATGGAGCACCTTCTTGGCACCATCAGGATATACCATCAAGTACTTTCAGTCTCAAGAAAAGCTTGACAGAGAGCATTCCCTGAACAAATAAGATTTACCCCCTGCTGTGTGGCTTGTCCCTAGCAAGCTTGTTGGCTGCTTGCAAAGGCAACTTTGCGGCCTGTAATCCCAAAGTGGGATGAATCGGTAGACTTTGGACAAATGGAGGCAAGCAGAGTGCATATGGTTTTGGGCTTCGCCCAAGAAGACGACTTTCTTGGGGGTATTTTGTGTATGTCCTTGGTTGGGTTGCTGTCGCTTGGAACAATTCTCCCCCGGCACTGTAGCCGCACTTGCGGATTTCGTCTCGCTTAATCCGCCGACCCCACACCGTGGGGTGAGGCGTGACTGTCGATGTTAGCCTTAGGCTTAGGCCTTAGCCTTAGCCTTAATCCTTAGCCCCTTAGCCTTAGCCTTAGACTTAAGCCTTAGCCTTGGCCTCAGCCTTAGCCTTAGACTTAGGCTTAGACCGTAGCCTTAGCCTTAGACCTTACCTCCCCTACCCCTCCGGACCTTTGTTGCAGTGACGAAATCCCGGCCTAAAAGCGACCTCAGAGCGACGTGATTGCGACCTGGATTGTCCAAGATTCTGCCATCCCAATATATTTACATCTTGGGGCACCCTCTCCACCCGCGCGGGAAAACAAGCACGGTCCAAAATGGTCCCGGGCTCGAATCCCGGGCTGGTCGCGGCGCAGTCCCGGCCAATGCCCTTGCTTTTTCGTAGATTTTGTCACGTTTTCTGTTGGATTTGTGGAATTTTCAAAGGCTTTTCTAGCATTTTCCTGGGAATGCTCTAGGCTTTGTCTGGATTTTGTTCTGTTTTCGGCTGGATGCTTTTCTTAGAATTTTCTAGCGCTGACTCTTGTTTTTAGGTTCCCAGATTTCCCCAAAAAATTGGTAACCTTTTGCTAACCTATGGAACTTTCAAAGGCGTTTCCAATATTTTCCTAGGAATGCTCTAGGCTTTGTCCAGATGTTGTTACGTTTTCGGTTGGATGCTTTTGCCAGAATTTTCTGGCGCTTCCTCTTGTCTTTAGGTTCCCAGATTTCCCCCCAAAATTGTTAACCTTTGGCTAACCTATTTTATGCCAGTGTTCCCGGCCAATGCCCTTGATTTTTCCTAGGAATACTCTTGGCCGCACTTAGATTTTGTTACGTTTTCGACTAGATGCTAGGAATGCTCTAGGCTTTGTTTATTCGGGAGGGTGCTTTTCCAAAAATTTTCTTGCATGTCCTCTTGACTTAGGTTCCCAGATTTGCACCAAAAATTGTTAACCTTTGGCTATTATGCCAGTGTTCCCGGCCACACACGGGGCCCCTTAGACAACGACAGGCTCTACAATGAGCGCCCCCCTAACTTAACCCTACTTATAACTTGGGATAACATATATTAGTACTGGTTTAACATATATTATATCATACCTTAACCTGGCTTAACTTCATACCGACTTATAAGTCACTTAGAAGTAAGATCTTAAAGTTAGAGAAAAACTATCTTATTTATAACTTCTTACGGGGATCAAGGTCAAAAAAGTTATAAATAAGTTACCGAAGTTATTTTTTCAAAAGGAAAAATGTTATGTTTTTGAAACACCTGTGAAAAAAAGATGCGCACACTTTTTTTTCCCCAAATGTATCTGTTGTTGTTTTCAAATGACCGCAAGCATATGATGTCCTTTTTTGTTTTACCGTTGCCATGTTGGAGTTGAATTGCATTGCTACTTCTTCAGAACATGTTTTTTGTGCTTGCATGCTTGTGAAAACGGTTGTAAACTTTCTCACACACTGAGCCTTTCCTCCTGCGCATGTGAGGGTGGTGGTCCACCTTCACAGTACCCTTTTCTCCCGAAGCCTATTTGGGTGTGAGGGGGGAGCGGCGTTGCGTGCCTCAATGGCGAGTGGTGAAGGTGAAGAACATGCTAAGAAACGCATGGCCATGCAGAGCTGGGAAATGTACCCAGCTTATGTACCTGCAAAGGTCTGGAATTCCTTCAGGGAAGCCAACAATATGATGGGGGCACTAGATGTTCTTTTGAACTTCTTGTTGAACTTGGGCATGCGGACTCCTTCAGAGCCGACCCAGTCGATGCTGGTCGCTGCTCTGATTCTACGAGAGGACCGAGAACGTCGCCAGCAGATCTTGGAGAGCAGTGATTCTTTGAGAAGTATTTTATGCAGCTCAGGTTCTGATTTGTGTATTTGTTTATGCATGACCAGGTTATTGGTTAGGAGAAATCTGTAACACGGTACACACATGTCTTTTGTTCCCTTTTGGTTGCATTCTTCAGTTCTGCTCATTCTAGGTAGTGTGAAGGGCCAATGGCAGACAAAATTGGCCAAGAGACGCGCAGCTTTCGGCAAGGCTCCTCCGCCTTTGGGCTTTGTGGAAACTTTGCCAGCAAGCTTCCACGAGGCCCCTGAAGCTCTTCGCGCTTTTTGTTGTCCAGACGGTGATCCTCCCCCGGTATCGCCATGGCCTCTGGAAGACATTTTGCAGATCGCGAAAGAGGTGCCGCTTAGGAAACGCAAGGATGCTCCTTTGGCGTTTCCAACTTGCTTCCAATCTTTGCCTCAGCCTTGCCTTCAATTGGTTCATTTGTGGATGCAGAGCATGATGACACCTCGAGCTCCCGAGTTGAACCTGACTTTCACAAAGAAGGAGGAACTCAAGGCCCTTCAGAGTCTCTTGGACAGGGCACGTTCGGTGTCTTCACAGTCTTTGTCAGATCCTGGGAGTGCACCACCCTCAGGGATGCTTGCATTACCAGCCCCTCCCATGCAGGAGTCAAGCAAGGCTTTACAGGAGCCTGTGGTTCCAATTCCTGATGGACAGATGCCCACACCTCTTGCAGGCATTCCTGCTCAAGCCAGTCCACAGCAAACGTCACCGCCAGAAGTGGCTAAGACCCAAGTGCCTGAGACCCAAGTGCCTGAGACCCAGGAGCCTGAGCTGAAGATGACTGAAGCACTGGGCCAGGAACACATCAATGACAGGCCTCTAGCCTTGTCACTGGATGACAGTTTGCAGAAAATGAGGATGGCCAGATGCAAGGGGTCAGGGTCATCTGGTAGCATCCTTAAGAAGCCTGCGGCAGCAGCGAAGTGTTTGAAGAGACCGGCATCGAGTCAACAGGCATTGGGAAGATCCAACAAGCCACCATCCAAGCCGACTCCAAAGGCAAATTCAAAGTTCAAGAAGAAGAATGCCGCACAGAAGGGTCCGAAAGACTCAAAGGCAGCACAGAAGGCTCAGCTGAAGCAGAAACTGCTGGCCAGGATCCCTTCTTCTGAGAAGCTTCGCTGGAAGGACGGCTGCAGCCGGTGTAGGTTTGTGCAGTACTGCACCATCTCTTGCTGGAAGCTGAGGGGGTGGCGATGAATCGATGATTCTTTTGGGGGCTCTGTACATATATGCTTTTGTATGTATGGGACAAGAGTTGTGGGGTAGACTAGCTGTGGTAACATGGCAGTCAGATAGGGCTGTCGCAAGCAAAACAGACTCATGTTTGATCAATCGTTGCATTTTTCGAACACTCAGACAAGCTGATGCATGATATATAATACCTGTTGATACCATTTGATACCTGCTGATATCATTCGATACCTGCTGATAACTGTATAGAAATAAAACATATTTTTGAGCATTGGGGCTCATTGAGTCTTTAGTTTAGTGTTCTTGGCGGTGGTCCGCTGGGAAGTTGGAGTCTTCTGCAAGTGTATGCGTTTGCTGTGTTGCTTTTGGCTTGCATCTTCTATTGGTAGATGTGTCCAGTGTGTCGATGACTGAAGAGAAGGTGTCACGCCATGTCGAGCCCCCATGCAAAAGAGCATGTCCTAGGGCATCTTATATGGGTCAGCTGACAGTGGCTAACATCGAAATTGGTCATGATGTTTTCTGGTGAGTTTATTGTTTTTTGGTCGGAATGTGTTTCTGTCTTCAACACTTGACTCTGTTTTTGCAGCATCCTTTGTTTATCAGTGGCTCTGACGCGTGACAACTAAGGCTGAAGATGGGATCTTGGTGGCGGAGGCAGAACCCCGTCTACCGCTTGCCAACTTGATGGCAAATCCTTTGAATGCTGAAACAATGACACCGAAAGTGGAGGAGGCTGAGCTTGAGATCAACATAGGGAGCACTGGTGATGATTACACAAAGGGACAACGGGAACAAGATCAAGCCCAAGGTGACTGGGAGATGCCTGGTGGTCGACAAGCAGCACAAGCCCAAGGCCCAGCTCCTCCACAAGACCACAGCCTTCAAGGACAGACGGGCGCCAGAGATGACCGGATTCAGGAAAAAAACAAAACTGAGTCGACCAAGGAAGAAACTGACTCGACAAAGACAGAGATCAAGGCTGATGAACCTGGTATGATCCATGATATCGGTGTTCCTCTGAGCCGGCATGAGATGAAGGAGTGGGCAGCAAAACTAGGAATATCCAGGCGCTCCCTAGAAAGAGGTATGGGAGTGCTTAGGCCGAAGTAGCTTTCAGTTTCACGGTTCAGCCAACAAGGAGTGAACAAAAAGACGGAGGGTGACCAAATGATTCAAAGCCGTGTCATACGACATGATGAACAAATCATTCAACATGTCATTGCGGTCTTTGTGAGGTGTGAGGCTTTCAGAAACAAGGCATAGAAACAAATCATAGACCATGTTGCTGTGTTTTTAGATACGTTG